AAGAATCAAATATTCATTGTACAAATATGGAACAATCTCCAAAATATATAAGCAAGATACAGAACAGTATTCAGAATTGTGTAGGGGGAAAGGAGATATTTGAAACAGACATATATACATATATATCAATGCAGAGAGACTATCTGGAATAATACACAAGAAACTGGCAACAGTAGTTGCTCCTGGAAGAGGGGCTAGGAGCAGTGAGAGACTTCATTGTATAACATTTTGTAGTTATTGATCTATTTTTAATTTTGCAAATTTATTAACTATTTTTAAAACATGAAAAAAAATCATTTAAAAAATACATTAAGAAAATTTGAACATTAATCTTTCACTTGGTACAAATGGATATGATTCTATGACAAATTTCTAACATTAAAACTAGTCAAAATTTTAATTTCCAAATATAAAGGTATATTTGTTAAAAATTCCTGTAGACTGCAAATTTTTTGAAAGCGTGGACTATATCTTCATCTTTGTATCCAAAAGTGCTTTCTGATGGGTATTCAAAAACTGTTAAATAATTTGACTGGTAGAGAAGATGGAATTGAAAAGTGCTCTGGTAAGTACTGGATTATAATTAGAGATCGAGATTCTTATATTAGTCCTCATACATCTGGTTAGAACACTCTGAAAAATAGCAGTTTATTTTTCTATTTTCCTATATCTTAGTTTCCCTATCATCTCTTAAAAGAAAAAAAGCAGGGAAGTGGGGACTAGAAAGGTCACTTCTAGCTCTGCTGTTCTCATGCCTCTGGTTCTAGCACTTCAAGATCAGTAGTGCCCAAACTTCAAACACCAGCTAGTTTTTTTTTGTAGGTATATATTTATGAATTAAACATGTCAATCTGTATATTGGTACTAACAACATTTAGTTCTTTTTCTTGACTATTTTCTTCCCATGCATGTGTATAGTTTTGTGCATCCCTGGCGTTTGTTCCCAAATTTGGAGTACACTCTCTAGAAAAGTAACTTTTAAAGTCTTTAAAGTATGAAAAGAACAATAGTGTAGTTACTGAATAGTATTCTCTGATGAATACACCTTTGTCAATCAAATAGCAAACAGAAAACAAAAAAAAAATCGTTTTTAGGACTATGATTTGTTGCTCCATGCCATTGTTTTATTGTGGAGTTTGATGCCTGATATACTTACCTTCCAAGCTACCTCAATTAATATCATTGTATTTTTATAGCTTGCTTTAGAGTTTCTCAAAGAGTCATACATCAGACTTTCTTGTTTTGAAAATACAAATAAAAATATGAAGACTAGCAGTCCTTGGAGGAAGGAAAAACGTTATTGATCATATCTCTAGGTTTTGGATATTTTTTTTAATGATGATATTTACTATTTTTGATGAATAATCTTTTAAGCTGTCATTTTGTTTCATTATTTATAAAAATTGAAACCATGTCATTCAGTGGAACTGGGACTGTTTGGGGAGAACTCAACTCAGTGAAAATATAATGGCTGTTAAAATATGGTTTAACAGGTTAAATCTCTGGCTTATTGAATGGCAAGTGAGTCAGTTGTTTGAAGTTGTAAGGAGAGAAGTCTGGATGCTGCTGCCATTTACCAACTCTAATAAGCCACTAAAATATGACACAACTCAGCTTCCTCTTTACGAGTGGGAAGGATCATTGACCTGCGGTTGAAGGAAGTTTAGGAATGATGTAGTCTAACTGAACTAATCAGTTGTGTCAAATGAGCTAATGTATAGCAAGCTATTAAATCATTTCTAAACGTAAGGATTCACATTGGAAGATGTGAATTGACTTTAATATTACACATGTGGAGTGGCTAGCTATCTTTGGACTCTCAAGTTTCTGTGATTAGAGAAGA